AGRTCTTGGATGAACATTAAAAGTTTTGAATTGATGTGTATGTGCAGAACCACCACCTCTGACCCACAAACTTCATACCCGAGCCTTACCTGGACAAGCTGCTGCGCTCTTGCTGTGACACACTTGCAAAATGAACAAGAGACACCCATGCAGAATTGTTCCTCTGCTAGCACTAACTCTATCAGTCGAAAGCTTGCAGTGAAAAGTTTGTAGTGCAAAAAGTTAACTTCTTCMATTTAAAATCTGATTCCTAAATTCCCACCTCCTGTTCTATGAAGGATGGAGACAATATTCCAGGCAAACCAAATTAATATTATTGATATTCAGGACCTTTCAGCTATCCATACTCTCCATCACTTCTAATAGCTTCAGAAGTTTTAATACATGGGAGGAAAAAAATCCTCTAAATAGTGGACATTTTCTTATCTTTAATTACTAACCTTTTTCCCCCATCTTTTCTAAATTCTCATTTCTCTCATCCCTCCATATCTTTKACAAAAAGGAGGAACATTTTATGACACCCTGTTTACCTATATCAGATACTTTTAAAAATGATTGGTAAGGGRCTGATTTGTTATGTATTAGTTCTGGCATTTTAACTAACAGAAAGAGCTTAGTAATAATTTTATAAATTAGAATAAATAATTATTTGTATRATCACTTTCCAAGTGCAGAAAGTTATTAAAAAACATCTATTCAGACAAATGATGCTTGAGCTTTCCCTCACATTCTGTAAGGAAAGAAAAGGGGTGGAAGGTACAAAACCTCATCTGCTTTGAAGTTACTGAAGATTAACACTTTTCAGAACAGAGGAGCTCTCCAAGAGAAACAGGAGCTGTATTTTCTCATCCACATGACCTCATGCTGCTTCTTGMAGGATTACACCTAATCCAAATGCATTCTTACTGGCAGAACATAAGAAGAGACAACTAGGCATTACATCATCTTCATAAAGTCAACAGGCAACTTCCCCACAAAAATTATCTTTATTTTAAAAGAAATTGAAACCAGACAACAGAAAGCAACTAAGTTACATACAGTGCTGGACAAAGTCTACCATATACATTTTCYAAGAACACTTGAATCAGATTCTGATACATGTTCTTCTAAAAGGCAAAAATATCACATCATTACTAACAAAAAAAAAAAGTCAACAATCTTAATCATCTTATATTTTGCATTGTTTGGATGGCAGTAGATTGGTAACTTGCCTTTTTCTACCCACTTTTAACTCTAAAAGGAGAATGTGGACAAAAAATTCCAAGTCAGAAGGCCCTTAAGGACACAGTGCCTGCTCTAAAGGCCATAAACACAAGCTTGGAGGAAAGACCACATTTTGAATAAAAATCCCTAACAACTTTGTATTATTTCACATTTCAGGGGAAAAAAAAAACCATCAAGAAAGAAAAAAAGAAAATAGAGAAAAAATAAGTATATTAAGAGCTTGACCTCCTTAAGTAATTTGGAAGTTCAGATTTAAACCATTCTGTAGAGGAAAAGATGAGTGTCCAGAAACAGAGACAACATCTCTCAYAACTCCAATCCCAAAATGTCTCCAGTACACCAATTCCCAAAATACAGTGCACAAATCTCCAAGTAAAAAGATGSGTCTGGATCATAAAATTGTTTTGAGACAGTTTGTTTGAACATGAAAAGGAAAATTAAACATGTATGGCAAACAACGCAGAAATAGGTGCTCCCTATGGTGCTGGGATAAGCCTTTTCTAAACCAGGAGACCAAGRGTGACACTGAATACTTGAAGCTAGAGGCAGCGCCTCTAAGGGCCAAACAGCATTCAGAATTCATTACCTCAGAACWGATGACACACAGCACTAGGCCACTAAAGGGACTCTTCTTCTATATAAAGCATAAATTATCACTTCCACATAAAGAAGTGAATGTGCATAACTAAAGGTGTAGTGTAGGATAGCTATATTGCCTTAAAGAGATCTGCTAAGTACACTTAGTTTCCAATTTTAGGGAAGAGTCTATTCTAATATAGAAAGCTTCTGACAAAACTTAGCAATTGCAGAATAACTTTAAAATACATCCAGTTCTACATCCTTCTGCATATATCTAATCCCATCCAATAGGTAAAAAAATCATATGCTCTCTAAACAAAAAAAAAAAAATTATGTTTAGTAAAAGAAGAGCATTAGAATAGAATTTTCACACCCAGGAACTGATTACCAAATGTTTGCCCATTTATCAGTGGATAATATTAGGAAATTCATATTAAGTTATGGCAACAAGATGATTATGCGTATCAGTGCTGTGTGTTCTGAAAGGTACTCAGTTTTAATTATCATGAATTGCTACCATCTATCATACCTCATTCTATGCAAGATACCACACCGGCTACCAAYCCATAAACAATAATGTTTCACATACTTCATAGAGTAGCTTAAAACACATCATGGTATGAAATAATTTGTATTACATAGTAATTTAATCCCTGGCCACAGGGTTAATGTTGGACAAAGTCTGGAAACTTTTCCAATTTGAATTACATACATTAACTTTGTCACACACCACAGCACTAATGCATGTATTACATCAGACATGCTCTAATTTAAAACCAAAACAAAAACGTTGTTGCAAAAATACATGTCACCAATGTGGAACACATTCAAGATTGTATAAAAAGTACTGAACTGATATCCCAAAACAGGTATATTTAAGCAGTACRTAAGGAAAGATTAGTTTTAATATGAAACAGTCATATAAGTCACATACAACATGATAAGAAGCATGACTTCCTTTTTAAAAAATATTACACCAATACTTTTACTGMCAGGCAATGTTTATTTATAAAATGAAAGGAATATATTTAATGCAGATGTGATACTGTGTTAAGCTGGAATTAAGACAAATGCTAAAAAGGTGCTACATTTGAACACCACTGATTTTGTAAAAACCTCAAACCATAGAAGCATTTCATTTGCAAATATCACAGGCCCACAAACTGCAAACACTTAAAACATTCTTGACCGTGCATGCAGTTCCACCAACTTCATTAATTCTCACATGCTTGAAATTAAGCCTAAAAAATGTGATTACAAAACTCATTCTTCGATTAAAAACTTCAGAGGTCACAAAGCTCTTCTTTGAGTAGCCCCCAAAATTATATTTTTGTTTTAAGTAGAACAAAATTCATTACTTTTCTCTAGCTTCTTTCATCTGAAGATCTCAAATAATAACTAGGCMTCTAAACAACCTTTGGAAGTAAGCATCAGTCCCATCTTCTGAAAGAAGAGACAGGCACAGTTAACCTGCTTGTTTCAAGCTGTAGAAGGAATGACTAAAACAGCAAGAAACAGGATTTTTGCTACCTGCTGTCTAGTTTGTATACAGCACTGTCACTTACCCTTGCACCAATATAACAAATGTTTTTAAGAGAAAATTCCATGTTTTCTCATTTAATATTGGTCACTGGCAAAAAAGTATTAAGGACAGTACAATCCAATTTATACCTAATTATTTCAGCCTGGGGGGAAAAAAAATTGGGGACAATATAAGGCTACATTTCTGACCGTGACCAGAAACTACTTAAAAAAGACACAGGCATTTCCCATAAAAATGTTAAGGTTTGCAAGATTTACAAAATCTTTGCAATATTTTTGGTGTGCAGCACCAGTACAGCCTAAATCACCAGTAATGACAGAAGCGCATGAGTGTTCAATACAAATTGCTTCATGGAGAGTATTACAAAAAACCTCACCTATTCTAGCCAACCCTCCCACCCTCCCTCCCACCCATCATTCTAGAACTAACTTCTAATGCTAATCAGCTGACATTTTCCTAGTACCTTACTAATTAAACATGATTGCTGTATTTTCTGTACATACTTGAACTACTAGTAGTCAATACATGCAGAGAAAACCAAAATATAACTGCTCTCTAGATAAAAGAGTTCAAGTATGCCAAGAGCATATCAGTAGGGCAAGCATATTGGCTGGATGACTTCTGGAGATCCTCATCAGTCATCTCTCTAGGATCAGTGTGCTAACAAGTGTGGGGTGGGTTGGTAATTTGTTTCTTATATCACTGACATTTGCTAATGCTTTAAACCTACGGGTTAATAAATGCAGAAAATTTACTGGGTTACAAACCCAATATAATAGAAAAGCCTAATAAATTGTTATAATAAGTTTCACAAGTACACAATTTAAGGCCTTATAAAATGATATTCCAGTTGATGTGAAGTTTTTAAGAATGCTATACTTAAATATAATGTCCTGACAGCTAATCTAGAAAATAGTTGCCCAACTTCATGTTGGGTTGAGGAAGAAATTAAGAAATACATGCATGGCTATTTTAAATATAATGTCTGCTGTAAAAWGTTAAAATATTAATTGGACTTCTGAGAACAAATGCCCCAAAAATCTTCTCACAAGAGGCATGGGGTGTGGGAGTGGGAAAGGTAACAATATCATCACTGGAGCTTTTGTTGAATTTTCACTGAGCAAAATTTTTACTTCATTTACATTAMTGTAGGTGTGAACCAGCTCCATTATGTTCACATTGCAAATTGTTGCAGAGATTAAACTGATTCCCAGAGGAACAAATCTATCTAAACAAGGTTTGGTTTAATTGCTACTTCAGGTATCAAAAGCAAATTCAAACAGTCTGTCAGTCATTAAGTAAACTACTGAAGAATAAATCTTTTTAACAGAGGTTGTTGCTAAGTTTGTTTTTTTTTGTTGCTGATTTTTAAATCACAYCTCTAACAAAACAAGATTAAGTCTAGTTAATGTACTAAATTAAAGAAACCAGTGATGAAAACAGAAGTTTTCATCTGTTTTTCTGGGTCTATCTTACCCTTTACATCTCCATACAGGAAAATTCTCAAGATAAGAAATATGCCATTTCACTTCAGACATATTTTCCTTTTCCTGATGAGAGGCAAACCAGAAAAAAAAATAAAATAAAAAATAAGAAGGGCAACACTGCACTTATCCAGCAAAATTTCTCACTTTTAAAATAAAACAAGAATCTGCACAGCATCTTCCAGGAATGTACCACAGTGGAACCCATTTAAAATCAAACATGATGGTCAACTATCAAAGAGGCCTTACTTTCACTMATTAGCATGATTTACCATAAAAACTACCCCTTTATCAGATGACTGTATTATCTATAAATTCCTACATCACTCATCATCACAGACCTGAAAAATTTATCACATTAAGGAACATGACTAGTATCTGMAATCTTGACATATGATTTGATTGCTGTTTAAAGATGGTTTGCAGCACTGTAGTACATATTACAAGCAGAATCTGTTATTACAGTGTCTCCTTTTATTAATTCAAAACAAGATTCTTCGCTAAAAAAACTTTTTCAGTTGCACATGCAACTTTATCACACTGCTAAGGCTGAACTGTTCAAGGCCAGATGATTCCTCACATTCAAAAAAGAAGGGGAGTTACTTTTGAAATCAAGAATAAGATCAAATTACCTTTATTAAAATAGAATTTCTCAGCATCACACATGAAGCTCTAGTGCCATTCATACTTGTCAGTAGGATATCAGGTTTAGCAAAGGAACTAAACTTCTGACAACTTAGTTCTGATGTGAGCTAAACTCACCTGCTATGACAGCTGTATTTTTTTTTTCTTCACCTCAGATTTCCCACCGCCTCAGTGCAAGACTGRCTCAGGCAGTGGTGGGAATTTCGTTTTAAGATTTTGCTAGCCAAATTATCATGCAATTCAGAGCCTGTGCAGAACACATTCCATTGCCTTGCCCCCTCCTTTATCCAGGGTGACTGGGCAGGCTGTAGCTGACAGTCCTAGAAGCTGGGCAGGATCTTCGGTGCACTACTTCATTCACAGTTCTCAGGCAGCACTGAGGCAGGAGACTGGAACCATCAGTGAGAAAGAATGAGAGAGAGATGCATGACTGCATGACTGCACTACTGTGACAGATGCAGAGACTGTATCCCAAGGTATGACCTCAAGATAAATGAATTAAGGTTACAAGTGCAACCCTAGTTTTGGCATTCTCTAGATTTAAAGAAGTGGACTTCACATACTTGATGTGTTCTTTTTCCATTTTAATCCTATTTCACAACGATTTCCAAATAATGCAAGACCTAGCAAGAGCCTTCAGCAAGTAATTGCTGAGAAGTCAAACGAGATTATTGCCTTTTCAAGGAAATARAAATGTGTAATAGTGGGTTTCACTGTGTTACTAAGCATGAATTCACCATTTTTGAATAGCACATTAGTGATTTACTTCAAAAATAGGAAAAAAGCACATACAAAATTCTCTGTGTTTACCCTAAAATAACAACTATTAGTACTGCACATTCCTCCATGTCATCTCCACTATATTCAAAGAAAGGCTAGCAAGAACATCAATAACAGACATTCATGCCAAAAGAAAAAACCAAAGTAATGAGCACTTGCAAATATAGTACCATCAAAACCAAGCACTAAATGCTAGTGTTAGTTAACACATTAATACACACTAGCAAATTAGGGCTATTCATCCAGGCACATTTTTTCCTTCAATAATATTGTCAATGCTCRTCCTACTTCCGATCAATTGTCAGTTACAGTTTAATCAGAAATAAAAAATATTCCATCCTGTAAAACATTCGCATTCATAAAACTAAGACTACAAAAACTGCAATGGAAGTTTATGAATGAAAACAGATTAGGGAAAAAAAAAGATGACAGCAATCAAACACAACTGATTGTCTGCAGAAAGTGAAGTACCCAATTTGTAACCGAATTTTCATAGTAAGTATTTCTTCCACTAGCACCAACTGAGGCTGTCAGCCTTCTGTGTTCAATGCAGGTGGTCCTGCAGTCTCTCTTGTACGCATTAACTGCACATCCTTGTCAGCCATGCAAGTGTCACAGCCCCAYACTGCTGATGCCTCTGCTGTGAGAAGGCCATAAGCTGACTCTGTCATGCCTGTACAGATCCGATGGAACCATTTTTGACAAGAGGCTTCACACAGGATGGCATCCTGATCATCATTGACTTCATGTGTACAAATTCCACATGGATAGACGGGCTCAGAGGACGAATGTCCATGACGACTGGGATGGAGGGGTGTTTTGCTGCTCTTTTCAGAGTTGCATCCTTCAGCAGTACCTCGAGGCTGGCGGGACTTGCTCTGAGTCCCATTTGAGTGGCCAGCATTGGTGTTCTCAGCACTATTAGAATGGCTGTTATCCTGATTTACCACATTGTTTCGAGTAACATTTTTTAGGTCACTGTTACCTTGACTCACAATGTCCTCTGTCCTGTGATGATGCTGATGAGCAGCAGCGTTCTGGCTGGATGCTTTGCTTGCACCTTGACTAAAGTCTTGCTTTTGTGCTGATGATTTTGTCTGGTTGTACGTGTTCGGTGGAGGAACAAAAGAATGGTTTGACTCTAGCTGAGAATTTGAAAAATTTGGATTGTTTCCAGGACCAAAGTTAGTTGGCACATCAGGGTGAGGTATCTGACCAGAATGGCCAAAGTTCTCCCCAGGATTTGGCCTGAAATGCTGAGCAGGCATATTGACATTTTGATTTATCTGACCACTGCTGTAAGGCGGTTGATTCCCAAAACCTGGGTTATCATGTGGACCAAAGCTGAACGAGTGGGGTCGACTAAAACCCATGCCCACAGGRTTTTGAGGAAGAGGATGTGGTTGACCTCTGAGGGAGTAAGAACCACCATATGGTGAGGACACTCTGGGCAGCATGTGAGGTGGCATTCTGAAAGTATTATAGCCTCCAAATCCAGGATAACCAGGATTACTAAAATATGGATTTCCTGAAGGAATTGGTTTATAAGACACCGTATTATAGTTGTCATCAAATGGATTTGCAGCTACAAGGTGGTCAGAGCTTGGGTTCGGTGGTGGAGCATATTCAGACGGAGGAGGAAATGATGACCCCTACAAATATTTTAAATACAACATTTWAATTAGTTTTAGTATTTCCCTCCAAGACAGACCAGCCACAAAGWTTCTGGATTAGCAATACAACTGCTGAAAGAAATGTTCAGCTGTTGTGTAAAATGCACCCACTGTACCCTGCCAGGCTGGCTGAAATTTCAGTACAGAGGCAGAAGAGGAGCTTGGGCTCCAGATAATGTGGATTTATAGTAGTCTCAGTCTTTAAAAAAWTTTCAATTGAAAATACTACTTGATAAGTGACTTCTATTTCATAATCTTTTGTAAAAGACAAGCAACAATACAGAAATCAAACTGTCACAAATGCCTACACAAAGCACGTCCAAATGTTGAAGAACAGATTTGAAGCATTTCCTTAATTTCATTTTGGGTTCATGTTACTGAATATACATCTCTCAAGACACTCCACTTCATTGAGACATACAAACCTAATGGTACTATAAGCCTAAAAAAGGCATATAGAATATASGAGTAAGCAGACTGATATTTTCTATAGTCTGTGGAACATTCTATTCTGTACATTTCTATACCAGAGGTATCCCTTATGAGCATTCAGTGATTGTGGACAGTCCACAAAGCATAGTCAGTAGGTACCAAATATTAGGATTATGCGATGTAACCAGAGTATAATCAAGTGTTCAATGGAGGCCAGAGTCTGTTTAAATGTCACCAGAGCAGTTATACAACTGAAATTCATTCTAGACTAGCCTGTAGTTCTACTGGGTTCACCCTCACACTAACTGTGCTCACAGAAGCATTTCCTCCTAAGCACTAATCAATTAAGACTGAAGATNAAAAAAAAAAAAAAAAAAGCTGCAGTGCAAATTGTGAACCTGGTAAGAAAAGAACAGAAGGAACAGAACCTAACCATGCATGTCCTCTAGAATTTTTACCAGAACACAAGGAAACTCCACCAAGAARGAGGTGTGAAACCTYGTAAAGTAACTGAATATTTCTCAGRCCAGGTTTCACCATGACTACTTTAAAACAAAACAAAAATGAAGAAAACAGATGCACATCTCAATGGACTCTGCATAGGACTAACAGAAAGTGATTGTTTTACCAACATAAATAAAGTTATTCCCACTGGGCAGTACCAAATTAACRCATATTCTCACTCAAAGCTGGATGAACAGACAGAGAAAAAATCAGCACTATAGATATCCATCCAATTGCTTAAGATGCTTTGTATTGAGGCTTTCTTTTCTGGAAAGAAAAACTGCATAGAAATGTTAAATTGCAGGGATTCACTAGAAAGGAGCTRTACCTGCCTCACAGCTTTTGCTTGAAAATCACTTGGGGAGTATGCCAAGAGTTTGGTCAAAGCATTAACAAATTCTACTGATTCATTAGCCCACAAACCTACACATACAGGAATGAAATTAAGGAGAGAAGTAGTCTCAAGGCAACTACTCATGCTGTACAGATTTCTACCAATGGCTACGAAGTCATTAAAAAAGCCTATCTCAGAATCAAACCCATATGGTAAAAACACAAGYTGCTGCTCACTGTGCTCCTCTCTTTACATGTCTTCAGCAACTTACAGGGATTAGAATAACTTCAGTGCAAATAACTARTATTAAGAAGATTTCAGGTTCACAATTTGAAATATTTGGTATCCAGTTGCTATTTGTGACCACAAACTGATATTGTGAACAATGACAGATAGTCATACCAGCTAACAACATTTCTGTGYACTTTTTATTAAGAATTCAAAAGAAGAAAAGGGAATTTACCTGTGTATTTGCTTTGCGCTTTTTTTTATCAGGGCTTCCAAGCTGAACTCCTGGTCCTCCTAAGCCATCCAATCCACTGTCACCACCTACAAAATGCCAATCAGTGCAACAGTGCATTAGTTTTCTTATAGACTGCATTGTAAGTTTGCCTGTAACTGCCACAGCAACAGATACCCGTTACAAATACTGAACTTGCATTGCCCCTGGYGCCTTGCGTTACAAGTGCTTAAGGAGCACACATCTGGAGGTAAATTAACACACCTCCTATACCCCTGTCTTACTCTACTACCACTTTAATGTCCCATTTGTGCTCATTCCCAATGAAATAAACATTTTTATTTATTTTATTTTTATCTGTCCCTTGGTTCTTAACATCTCCACATCACCAGTTAGAAGTATTTCKTGTTTGCATGACTCATAAAACTTTCAGAAGAACTGCATAAAGCCCTGYCTAAGACACACCTCTCATTTAACTCACACAGACACAGCATTTATCAAACTCAGTGACTGGAGTGTTACAATCCACCATAAAGAAAAGTAAAGAGTAGTAGATCCATGAACAAAAACCACTGAAAACCTCCCATGTTGTTTAGACAAATCTCCAGTGTTTCAGATCTAAATTTCAYTAAATGCTACACTTGATCAAAGAAAAAGACGCCCTGCCAAAAACAAGTGAACCAGCCCACCTCTGCAGAAACCTCATACAATAACTGAGCAAAGCTGTTCTGGCGCAAAAAAATGTAAGTAATGCTCATTTAATTGGTTACTCAATCAGACTTGACCCTGAGCAACACAAAGAGTTATCTGTACTTCACCTGGGATTCTTCTTCACCTTTCACAACAGTGGGACAAGCTCTCAAAGTTGTATAAATTGTGGCTTTCATTTTTAAAGCCCTAGTTAGACCATAGATGAAAAATAAATCTAGCACACTCCTTAGAATCCCAGTCAGTCTGTCTTCATGGGGTTCAACTGAAATTGCCACGATACAGAAATGCAAAAAAAACCCTGAGCTGAAGTGTGAGAAGCATTTTCAGGTGATACRGGAGCATGACACTGGAGATGTTAAAGTACTAACATCATTACATTAGGAAACTACATCAATTATTTTTTTCTCAAGCCCATTAAGATAATAGCATGGTTACTCTTTTATATAAATTTACAGTAACAGCATAGAACAGAAAGCAGGCAACCCAACCTGAAAATTTTACCGTTGTTCGTTTAAAATTCATATTCAGAATACAAGTCAAATTTTATCAAGATGCAAGCATCCAGCAACCTGAGCACACAGGTCTTCATTACCACAGACAATCTGGAGATAACTGTGAATTATCAGCAGTATTATGCAAAGCAGCATAACGCATGACACTCCACTGCTCTGTTAGACAAGTGTTCCCAGCAGACAGGTAAACCAGCTACAAGACTATTCAGCAATGTAACACAAAATCTCTTCTCACAGGGAGGCAGCAGATCTACTGTACACAGACCAAAATATCCAAGTTATTTCAAACACTCCTGATCCAASGAGGTCTGACAAATTTTCACTCCTGCACTTCTTTCTTCCCTGCCTCCTTTTTTTGGATATTTCAGGGAATTTACCAGTCCTGCTTCAGGTAAGAATCCAGTTCTGCCTCTGCTTTAATTAGCTCATTTTGGCTTTAGYTGTCACTGAAGAAATTTTACGTCATTTTTCATTACACATAAGGCAGATACATGGATCAACATCTATCAAGTTTTAAGCCTGAATTCCAAAGACAAGGGGATGATGTCACAATCAAGTTCTCAAAATAAACTCATGCTTGCACACAGACCACATATCATGGTGTAARCTACCATCAGAGAAACTAGGGATTACTCTTTAAAAAAAGAATCCTTTTTGCCTTGATTTAGAATATAAAATCCTGCATATATTCAGTGTTTTGTGAAGCACTGCCACAGCATTACCTGTAGATACTGTGATTACAGCATAAAGTTTAACATRAAGAATAATGGCGATTTTTCCTAAATTTCAATGCTTTAAATCATCTGCTTGATAACCTATTTYGTTAAAACTGCCTCTGCACTTTCTATCGCCTTCTTCTCCAGTTTATACTCAATTCAGTGCAAGATTGTACTGTGAACACTAGTCCTTGCAACTGCATAAAACATGCTCCTGTTCACATCCCTGAACTCTTAAAACATARATTATGTTAACCACTGATAGCAAAATGTTACAAATATCCAGATTTCTTTTAATAAATTCAAAAACTACCTGCACAGACATTAGTAAATTTGATGGTGAAGTAGAATACTGAGAGTCAAACAAAGTGCTGGTTTACAGCAGCCTAAGTTAAAACTTTATAAAACTACATATAAATTCCCTCTCTGAGATATAATTTTTCAAAAGCATAAGTATACAAACATTAGAACTCCAGTGACAAGTTCCATCAATTTCTACCTGAGTTAATTTCATAGACAAAGCCATTCACATGCCTCAGTTTACAGGAGSGAGTCCTGTGTCTGGAAAGGCACAAAGCGTTTGTATTTTCAGTTCTCACTGTGTGAGGCCAATGATTTAATTCAGCCCTAAGAATTTATATTTTCCCTGCGGGTTCTATAATGATTTAATTTATACATGAAAGGAAACAGAATGTTAGTCCTAGCATACCTCCAAAAAAGAGTGAATAAGGCTCATTTTCATGCAGCCAAAATAAACATTCCACAAAGTCACTTTTGGTACCTATCACACAGACTTTCATTAAAGGTGTACCAAGATTTTGGAATGCTGCACTAATGAAAAATTATKCATTGTCCGAGACTAGTTTTTCAGGCAAAAATCCTTTTGACTGGGATACCATCTGTTTAATAGATCTAAAGATATAAATATCAATCTGATAACTATTCCCCTATTAAACTATAGATAAAATTTATTTCAGCCATTCACATTTGGGCAAAGGAGAAGAGATAAGCCTCATATTCTCTTTTACTTTATACATACACAAGACGGACATTTTCAGTGTTAATCAGGAGAACTGCAAGTTATAGYTTTGTTTATACACTAAGGGATTTTGATTTTGCATGTAATTTATGCCATACTTAACATATTGCAAATACACTGTGGAATATTTTCGCACTCACCGACAAACCTCTGTCTAGGTTTTTAGAGGATAGATGCCAGAGTCTTTTTAAACAGTACTTTTTCTCAGTAAGAACATAAATAGATGAATAAACTTTTCATTATAGACAGAAAACTAAAAATAGTCTAATTTCAACCAGATTTCATGAGCCTATTCTGTGGCCCTGAGATTGTAAACAGTTTTGATATTAAGCTTTAATCGGGTGGAACTTAGTGGGTAACTCAGCCATGTGAAACCATATAYGCTTAAATATTTGCAAAATCAGGGCTTGAGAGTAGAGGAGCCTAATGAATCCCAGTCTCTTTTGTAAGGCTGCTGAGTGTTTTCATTCTCTCMTTTCCAAGGTTGCAATCCAGCTGTTACTATAACAGTTTTAGAAAAGCAAACTGTAAATCAATGACAATATGCATCATGGAATCCACACCTTTTCCCACTTATTCAACCAGAAAAAAAGCTCTAAACATCAAGAACAATAGGATTCCAGGGGCAAAACAGGAGRCAAGAAAGAGAAGCACTAAATTGCAAATTTTATCATTTTGCCATGATTTACACCCAATTCAGTCACCCATCCTGCTGCCTTTGATTATTTCATTCAGAAAGGCATTTCTATGTCTCCGGGCTGTAAGGACAGAACTATCACTACGCAGGCTGATGTGCCACTGCCATTAAAGTCAGCTGCACTGCCGAAGTCGGAGGAGACACTGCCTTTCTACCCTTTCCCCTACACCTTTCAAAGAAACGCACACTTTAAACCTCATCAGAGCCATACATCAGTGCTATTAATAAAGAATAATATTTCGATTTTTTTTTTCATTTCACGAAAACGGAAAGAAAAAACCCCAACTAGAYTCAAGCACAGAAGCCGAGACGGGGGGCAGAAGAGAGAACACTCAAGTGTAATTTATTGGCTCTGCATCAGCACGAACTCGGACATGTGGCACTGCCGCCGTATTCCCTTGCACCAGCAGTATGCTCGCTGCATACTAATGTGCTGCACATCCCCAGACACACAAGAGCCAGCACCGCACGCCGCCCTCCCCCGCGGGGCACACCTGCGCACACAGCGAGCCCYGGGGCTGCTTTTCAAGGCCCGGAGGCTGCGGGAGCCCGCGGGGCCCGGCCGGGCCCCACCGAGCAAACTTCGAGCAGCCCCCGCACCGCCGGCCCCGCCGCAGCCGCAAGGAGGGACCCGGCGGGGGCGGCCCGGCCCGCGCTGCGCTGCGCGGCAGCGGAGCCCCGGGGGCAGCGCCGGCGCGGGCGGTGCGCGCATCCCGCGGCTCGGCCATCGCTCCTCACGGGAGCCAGGCCCCAACGGCGGCCGCCCCCGGGCCCGGCCCGGCCCTCGCCGTACCTCGGGATCTCTTCAGTGCGATGGGGTCCTTCTCCTGTTCCGCTGACATTACAGACAGCCGCGCATGGCTCCCAGGGCGGCAGGAATCGAGGCTCTTTGATGCTGCTGCCGCCGCCGCCGGCCCGCACCCCGCCCCCTCCGCCCCCGCCTCCTCCGCTGCCGCCCCCGCCCGCTGCTGCCGTAGCCGCCGCCACCCCAGCAGCGGAGCTACGAGACTTTGCAAAGTTTGGACGCGGGAGGGCTCCTCTGCAGCCCGCGGCGGGGGCCAGGCCAGGCGGGGTCCGGCGAGCGGAGCGCCGCTGCCCGGGGGCCGCCCGGGGGTCCGCGGAGCGCTGAGCAGCGCCGG